CAGACAAGGATGCCCTTTGTCACCACTCCCATTCAATATTGTGCTGGAAGTCTTAGCCAGAGCTATACGGCAAGACAGGGAAATTAAAGGCATCCAAATTGGCCAAGAGGAAGTAAAACTCTATTTTCAGCTGATATGATCCTATACATAGAAAACCCCAAAGACTCAGTGAAAAAGCTACTAGACATCATTGGAAGTTTCAGCAAAGTGGCAGGATATAAGATCAACATACAAAAATCAGTTGGATTCCTCTATACCAAAAATGACAGTGTTGAAAAGGCCATTAGGAAAGCAATACCATTTACAATAGCCACCCAAAGGATGAAATATCTAGGAATAAATGTAACCAGAGAAACAAAGGACTTATACAAAGAAAACTACAAAACACTACTACAAGAAACCAAAAGAGACCTACAAAAATGGTAAAATGTACCATGTGCCTTCCTAAGGATAGGAAGCCTTAACATTGTGAAAATGTCAATACTGCCAGAGCAATTTACACATATAATGTAATCCCAATCCAGGTTCCAATGGTCTCAGCTCCTGATGGCGCCACCTATACACATATACATAGAAGCCTCTGGTAGCCCAGCCCCTTTCCTGGGTCTCTATAGGACCATGGTGATTGTTTTTCCATCTTCAAAGAGATGGAAAAAACAATTACAAACTTCATATGGAAAGGAAAAAGACCAAGGATAAGCAAAGCACTGCTTAAGAAGAAGAATGAAGTTGGACGCCTCTCCCTCCCTGATTTAAAAATTTACTACACGGCTACAGTGGTCAAAACAGCTTGGTACTAAGCCAATGAAAGATCCATAGATTAATGAAACAGAATCAAGAATCCAGAAATGAGCCCATCCTTTTGACAAAGGACCTAAGTATATCGCATGGGGAGGAGATAGTCTCTTCAACACATGGTGCTGGCAGAACTGGAAAGTGATATACAAAAGATTGAAAAAAAAGACCTTTATCTCACGCCTTATACAAAAGCCAACTCAGCATGGATTAAAGACCTAAATGTGAATCCCAGAATTATAAAAGCCATCAATGAAAAAATAGGGGCAAATTTGAGGGCTGTGATAGAGGGCACAATTCAAAATGAAGAGAAACAGCTGTAAATATCCATTAATAATCGGAACATGGAATGTACAAAGTATGAATCTGAGAAAATTAGAAATTATCAAAAATGAAATGGAATGCATAAACATCGATATTTCAGGCATTAGTAAGCTGAAATGGACTGGTTGGTATTGGCCATTTTTAATCTGACAACCACATGGTTTACTATGCTGGGAATGACAAATTGGAGGGGAATGGTGTTGCATTCATCGTCAAAAAGAACATATC